ATTTCTGGGGCGAGCCTGGCAGCTCAAGGGAGTTCGAGGGACTCGACGAGCGTGTGGTAGAGAAGCGTCCATGGACGCTGGTTGCTAGGGACGGGGTCGGCGAATGCTCGTCCCACAACTGACGGTGTGAAAGAGGTGATTGGGGCGACGTCTCCGGCCCCGGCAATTGTTCCAAGCTCTTTGGGACTGTAGTTAGGGAACTCTTCCCAGAGCTGCTGATCCATCAGTTCAGCCCTGGGGACGGCGGGAGCGGGTGCTGTGGCCTCTTCGACGATGGGGACAGCGACACGCCATGGGGTCAGGACTCGGGCCACAGGAGTTTCTTCCCTTGGGTCGGCGTAGACCCAACCGGTGCTGCGGTGCCAGCCGACGGGGGTTCCTTGGTTTGTAGGCCAGTTAGACGAAAGGGGTCCTGCTCCATCTGTATTGGAGGTAGTCGCAGCGGAGGCCCCAAGGTCAAGCTCTCCGGGATCCTTGTCCCAGTCGTCTCCCCCTCCCCCCCCCCATACCTTCCCTTCTCAGACCGCCAGTCTGTGTCTGTCCACTTGGTTTGGGAGCGTCCGCTCCAGCTGTCTCCGGTATAGGTTGCATCTTCCTCCGTGTTCGGGTAGAGGTTGCTGAGGAGGTCTTCGAGTCGGACCCTTTCGAGGTCGGTGAGCTCATCACCTTCGTACTCGGTGTCAGAGCCTTCTTCGCCCTCAACCAGATGCCTGGTGTCTTGTCTTCTGCCTCAGTTGGGGCTTGACTCGCCTTGGACTGGAGACTGGTCGAAGAGACCTGGTAGGGGCGAGTCTCCTCGGTCGAGGAATATGCTCTGGGTATCGGTGATGTTGATGGAGTCGACTGACTCTGCGGTAATGCTTCTGTAGGAGTCGGTGCTCGACTCTGAGGATCGCGAGCTGGACTGCGACGATCCGTATAGGGACTCTCCAGGTCCTCTGGGTGTGATGGGTCTGCCATCGTGTAGGCTTTGTTGGGATGCTGCGGGAATGTGAATTACCGGTGAAGAGGCTGGCTGTGGGCACCTGTGGAATAGTGAGCGGGCTAAAAGGTGAACCTCAAAAACCCACACACACACTCACACAACTACCCAAACTACAATCACCCTCGTAAGTTCTAGGGGGAGTGATTATTTCTAATGCGATCCAACTATACTTCAATATCTCGAAGAGTTTCTCTTATTCTCAGCGCTCTTAGCGAAGCTAAGCTTTCTCTAATGAATTCCTAAGTCTAGGAACTTTTTACAGGAAGGTCGTTCACTGGCGCGACGCAACCTTCAAGGCAGATTTGGGTTATAATACACAAGGGACACTGATCCCAACAGAAACAGAGGCAATACACACCGAAACTTTAGTGAGCTCGCTAAAAGAACACCACAGGCAAGCACTGACTTAGCCCGCTCGCTACACAACTGTATGTAGGGGTTCTCCAACTAACTCCAGCAGGTTATCTCGACTCAAGAACACTTCAGAAGTGCTCGGAAAACAGATTCAGAAACGGAACTTCGAACAGAACTGACACAGAACAGACTGAAACAGAACAGAACAGAACAGAACAGAACAGAACAGATCTCAGATTTCCACTTCAACACATTCTCCGAACAGACTTATCACACTTAACAGAACAGAAACAGCGTCACTGATTCGTATTCACTCTGACTAAGTTCTCAAAAGTCTTATCAAAAGGGTATCTCGTATTTCTCTGAGTGAGCTCGCTAATTCTACGCACAGCTCGAAGTCACAAACTGATCCTTTGTTACAGTACCACCTTCAACGCGTGCACGGGAACTCGGGGGCTCGAAACTTGGCCTCTACCTACTGTAACCAGCCTACTTATACTACAAGGGAATTAGAATTACAAACATTGCGCAGTACCCAGACTCCTACATGCATAGCATGTTGCCACTGCTGCCTTACTGAGCATCCAAGTCGGACTTCCCAGTTTTAGTCTCATTCCTATAGTGAGCTCGCTAAACGCGTGCCAAGAGGTGCTCTCCCGACACCCGCGGGCTCGTTCTCTAGTGACCGACAGGTCTAGGTGCACGGAACTATCAGTTCTGGCGTATGTCGTTCAGGACTTCTTTCTTGGATTCACAGAGGCTTCTCGTAGACACGGCAACAAGTGAGTCTTCGAACAATGGGACTCAGAACAATGGAACGTGGGCTCGTGGACTTCAGCCAAAGCCCATTGCCCAAGCTCGTGCCAGTGATATCTGTCAGCTCGCTTAAGGATTTCCCCGGATTTTCAGGTACGGCGCGTCACAGTTAGCGAGCACGCTAAGTGTTCTCAGTGCCAGTGCAATCTTCAAGGTTTTATCTAGCTCCCACGAGTGTGCTTGCAAGTTAGAGCCTAAGGCATTGGGTGTAGGGTTTGGCCTTCTCATCACGCATGCCCGTCAGGTACAGTGCTGTGACTAAGTCCTGTTTAGAATCCCGTTGCTTCTTATGCCATAAGTTATATTCCATATCATTGCACCGTGTAGCATTAGTGTCAATGCGTAGTTTTAGTCTGCCCGCTCACTATTTCTCAGTATGCGTGTAAAACACTCTAGATTGCAAAATTACACGCGTAAATAGGCTGCAGTTGCAACACCGGCGGTGGGTATGCAGGTGTGCTGGGAACATAATGGAACAGGAGTTGGGCGCGAACTCTCCTCTGTCGTCGGAAACAACGGAGTAGTTGGTACAAAGAAATGGACAAGAAAAAGAGTATAAAAGTTGCGAAGACTGTGGGAATGGCGTCGGACCAGGGCATCCGTTCGTGGGTCTATTCTTCATACAGACCAACAGTTACGATTAACCATGCAACCGTTAGGACGGGATAGAGCTCGCTAGTCGTTATCAGCACAAGGATGGCTGATATTGCGACTGCTTGTACGATGACGGGGATAGGCGTCAGTTTGAAGAGTGGGGTGAGTTTTTAGATGCGAATGATCCCGATGTAGAGTCCTACAAGGTAGGCTGCGAGTAGTGGAGCCAGTATGTAGAATCTACACAGGATAAGGGTGATTGCTACTCTCGCTAATGCTGAGGTTAACGGGTCTTGCAATAGGAAAGGCAGGGCCCGAAGGGCAACTGCAAGGAGTAGGAGGATGGGATAAATGTTTGATAGAGCCGGATCCAAGGCGATTGATGGGCACCAACGAATGTCTAGGTGCAGCCTAGCAACCTGTCGGTCTAGCTGGGGAGTATAGTAAAGTGTTGGGCAGCATGATGCTGGGCAACGTAAGGCGAGCTTCGGCTAAATGTTATCAACCAACTAATAGTCGACTTAGATCGAACTAGGATCACCACTTGCACTTCGGTGGATGATACTCTAGCAAGTCAAAGGCGACGTCAAAGTCAGTGGAGGGCAGATAGACACAAAGAACAGAGTTTGAGTTGGGTGGATTAAACCTTAGCCGAAGCTGGGGTTTAGGCCAGCTGAGGCGCTACTTAAATACATGTGGGTAAACTAATAATAGTACTGTGAGAAACGGTCTGTGGTGATCGTATATGAGTAATCCTGCTGAGTAAAACGAAGAAAAATGAATAAACCGTAACAAGACAGCAATGACATTGAGAGTTGGATTAGCTTGTCATGGGGTGATATCTGCTTAAAAAAGACTTCAGGATTATGGTGGCCATTGATTGATAGTAATAAGGTGAGCCTGAGTCTGTATTGGCTCAGACTCATTCTAGGCTCAAGCCTATATAGGAGCCAGCTAAAACTGGGCTTGAGTTGCTTTAGCCAGATGACGATGCCTGATTTGGGCAGGGTGTTTTCTTCACTTTTATTCTCGCCTAGGACGCATAAAATCATGCCCTGTGGTGCATACTATAAGATTCCAATATGGATGAAGGCAACTACACATCGAAAATGCTGATTAATACCATAAAATAGAGAACTGAGGTTTGAGATGACAAGATCCAGCCATCTTCAATCCCCACAGTGCTCTTGTGACATCCACACTGAATGGACAAATTATTGTGTCAGACTAATGTCTCTCTTATAAACACTGAATGGTCTCTCTGCCCAATGCTTCCTTGTCAATGGTAGCGGCGAAGTCACTACTGACCGGTGTTGGAGGGAAGGAGATGCAGATAGTCACCGTGTGAGACACATCAGGAGAATTCAGATGCTTCAAAGGCAGGGAAATCATCACACAACCTTAAAGAAATAAGTGGAATGGAGAGCGCGCGTCATAATTAGTGTAGTCCAATGTCTGAACTCGATCTCCTTTTTTGGTCTTGATGAAGGAATTTGAAAAATGGTCATCGAGCTGGATGGCCTGCTTAGTCAGAAATGCCATCGAGCGACAGGGGTTCCAGGTACACAAATCCCCCCCATTCCGCATCCCTTTTTCCATATCATGTCTGCTACTGTGCATCCTCACACCCCAAGGTCATACTGCACCAGATCCTGCCATTCGGCGCTAGTGATCACTTGTTTTGACGATTATGGTTGGCCATGAATGCAACACTCATCTTGTCGGTGGGAATACTTCATTCTCCACACTGAGGGAAATATCAAGGTCAGAACTGGTGTATAAAAATTACTGACTTGGAGTGAATGCTCTCTGCCGCATCTGCCATCCAGAAAGGGTACATAGGATTGGAATTTCTGTTCCACGAGGATTGAAGCCTCTGCACCTGCCTTGTTTTCCTGCAATAGGGCAGCCCCAGCAAAGGATGTTGACCCAGGGTTAAGGCTGTCACCAATGATATCAGAGGGAGAGCTGATGTCACACCTGATGAGAGCTTTTATAAGGCTTGAAGTTCAGATAGGATCAGACACATGAGTGTGATGGGAATAAGGACATTTGGAAGCTTCTGATAAACTTGTCATCAGTACATATCCTTGAAAAAAGGACTTCAGGGTCTAATGTAACAATTGTTCCGGGAATATGCAATAGCACATTTGAATACAGAGAGCAAATTTTTCACGGTAGGCCACATCAAAAATTGTAACCGCTGATAACATATTTGGGAAGTTTATATGGGAAAGTACATTTATGATGATCAGTCTGGAGATTGCATGACTTCAGCAACTCTTTCTTTCACCACCATCACTGCCCATTCATCTACAGTCGCATCTATATGATTCGGGTTAAATGATGAATGCTGTCTGGGAAATCACATACCAAGTGGACGGGCCCTTGGCCAGACGAAGAAAGTGGGCCTAAGATGGAATGGTCTATCGACACTCATATTTACAGTCTCCCAATGTTCCAGTACAAGCAAAAAAGAAGTCCAGTGTCCTCTCCACTGACTGTTTGAAGGCTTTCAAGTACACTTTCCGCCAACCCTGTGCTTTCCTTGCAGATAGTATCAAAGACCATGCAAAATGAATGGCAGAAGTCTTTGCAAAATCAGCAATGCGAAGTGAGACCAGAGAATCTAAAGGTTTGGTGAATGCATCATGGGCAAGTGGTGTGTCGGGAAAGAGAATCAGAGAGTACTGCTCCTGAAGACGATATATTATGTCAAAATATGCCCATCTCCCCTTGCTGAGTGGCCAATATGCATCTGGTTTACGAGCATCGAAAATAGCGACAATGTCTAAGGCAGGAAGGGAGAGGAGCAAGTTGCCGAGTGCAACTATGTCGAGAAGCCCTTCAGCTGTATTGACCTTGAATTTGGACGAATCATTTTCTATGCCTGAAACCATCCTGATGAGGCATCGGAGAAAACAATTAGTTGATTGGCTTACTATCAGTGTTCAGCCCATCTTCAAGGTACAAAATCAGTCGAAAGAGGAGATCCCTCAGTTGGAAGTACAGAACTCTCTCGATTTTGACCCCATGTATATAAGTATCAACCCAACCCGAAACGGTTTTTGACAAAGTTGTAGTAGTGTAAAAATGTTGTCCTCTGACAATGGAATTTTCAAGTGTCACTACTGCATGAAGAGTGCCTGGTTGAATGAAATTATTCTTGTTCTCAGCGGTAATCACATCATATCATTGAAAGAACGTACAGGACATTACCGGGCTCGAGGACAACAACTTCTGCTTTCCATTGCTTTGGGTCATTAATGAAGTCAGAATCCCAGTCATGGTATGCATGTATCAACTTGTCATGCTTTTTAACGCGATGCTGAAAGAGGTACCAAAGCTGGCAGCCACAATGAACTTGGATAACTGTACAAACCCCAAGACAATAGGGCTTGATGTGGTCAATAGTACTTTTCGTTGCCACATACCAGAAGTGGGTGGTGGATGCAGGATACCCCTCCATCCGAAAGATGCGCTCTGTGTTAACAGACGTCTGTTTGAAAACTCCCATGTCGCTGGAAAAAATTCTATGAATAAGTCAGTTTTGAAACAAGAGTTCATTTTCACTCCTTACAGTTGTAAGGGATGCAAATCCTGGGTGCGGCAGGGCAGACGAAGCGCACTCAAAATAAGACCTTCGTTTTCCTGGCTTTCTTCATGCAGTTCACATAAAGACAGACGCATGTCATGGCCCTGTCCTTGGTGGTCTGTATACTGTGTTAATATATTGTCGTGTTGCAAACAAAAAACACAAACCTTGAAAATCTCGATTTGCATCAGGATTTCCAATCTTAGAAAGTGATGACAGCGTCCAAGTGATCTGAGATGTCTTTGCACCAACCACTAGTATGTTGTGGTCACAAAAACGTTCAAGAGTGCAAACAGGATTGTTGATGGCCAAATCGAAATCCAGGCGATATACCAGTGCTGACTCTACAGCAGGTGCTACAGAAAGTGAAACTGAGGCATTAATACAGCACTTATACCATCCATCCAGCAACGCTCGATCTTGAACCTCCTAAAAAACATCATTTATAGGATTTCGAAAAAGGGATGGGTGACATATGTTACTAAGCAATGGCAAATGATAGAATGTATGGTATCTTTCACCCACTAAAATGGGGGGAGACTCAACCATTGTTTCAGAATGAGCTAGGTTGCGATCTTGTTTTAGTTGCTTTCGGCTAGCTGATACAGATGTAGATCGTTGCCTCTTTCGGTGATACAAGAAGGGATACTTGTTTGCTCAAACAAATAAAGAACCGTCTTCACCGATTTGACCAAGCTCAATGGTGGGGAGGTCGTTAATGTTCAAGCCAGTGTTTGGTGGATGGGGCCAGAGCACTGGAAAGTGTCTGTGGCCCCATTGTTCCACTTGCAATGTCAAGAGGCAGTGAACCTTGGGAATCGAACCAAGTGTAAAAGCTGGGAGGTGGCAGGCATTAAGAAGTAATTGAGGAGGGGCACTGCAAGACCTTGGTTTCCGTTTTACTCAGTGTTTCTGTGCCGGCGATGATGAATGTCCTCTGCATTGTTCTGCCTGGGGTCCCACCTTGTGAGCTCCCTCAAAGTTTCGACTATTATTAAGCCAAGCAACATTTGCCAATCCTACACGAACCTCCAGGCCAAGGATTTGGTTACACTGAACAAGGGCAGCAAATGCATCAGAAAACCAGGTATCCGCTCCCTCAGAGTCACCTCGGATCAATGGTGCAGCCTCAGTCAAGAAGTTTGTCAATCCAGTGTCACTTGTCCAACAGCCCCATGCGACACCGATAATACAACGCCAGAGCATTTCCTCAATACATTGGAGGAGTTCCGGTTTTCTGTAAGATGCAAGTTGTCCTCCGACCTGCAAGCAAACATCAGTGATACCTTTGTGAGATGGTAAAAAAAAACTCCTACCTGTAAAGTAAGCGAGATGGAGATATGTTCCCCGGAACCTGGGTACAGAATGAGCAGGAGTGGTGATATCGCAACAGCATCAATGAAAGCTTTCTTCCAACGTTGCACATTTTGTTCAAAAGTCTCCTCAAAGATCATTGTAGTTCTGAGGTGGTCCGAGTGTTCAAACCTTACAGTTAGAGCGAGTACCATGAATACTAAGAGAATCTTACCTTTATGAATGAAAGTTTTTGCCATGCTAAAGAAACAATCAGAAGTTGATTTAAACAGTGTTGGATCCCCTTACAAGGCAAAGCACCGAGTGAATATGAAAAGCGATGCCATCCAAAATACAAAGGGCATTGGTGTAGGTTTTGATGGACTCATCCTTCTGGTTGTTCACCAGGAGGCAAATATCGTGATAGACATTCTCTTGTTGGTTAGTTGCCCATGGACTTGGCATTGATCTGTTCCTATATGCACCAAGTGATGTGTAAAGTTCATTCAACTTCATGGTCCATTGCTCCAGCGGCTCCCGAATCTACCAGACAGGATCAGGAAGGCTCTCACATTCAAGAAATGACTAACTCACGAAAGCTGGGATAGTATGAATGAGTCGGGATACGCAAAAAGATGCAGGCCATGTCCACCACCTTCGCAAGGATAATGGTGTCAAGAATTGCACCAAATTGGTCTTCTGTGGTGCTGATTTCATCGATACAGGCCTTTTCAGGTTCGCACCAATATTGGTCAGCAAACTGCTTCAGTGATCGTCCCATTGCGATATCTCCCAATTAATAGACTTTTCAGTGCAAATATGACATTAACTGCATCCTTAAGCTCTAAGGTCAGAGAAGCATCATATCTAAATTGATGAGTGAGAAGCCAGATGATGGACCAAGATAGGATTGAGATAGGATCTCATTTACTCCCTTGACTTCAGCTATTCGTGAACCCAGATTAGAATTTTAATAAATTATTTAAGTATTTATATATATTGATTTATTTTGAGTCTATAGCTGCTTATGGCAAATAACAAGTCTGATTAATAAAAATCACAAGACCTTTATCCATATACAGCAATGGCAAGGTGCCGGGAGTGCTCAGGCACAATCTCATTTGAAATGAGCATACCAGTCTTGTATTCCATACCATGGGGACCAAGTCCACCGGTGTTGCGACTGCAGCCTATTTACATGTGTAATTTTGCAATCTAATGTGTTTTACACACATACTGAGATATAGTGAGTGAGCAGACTAAAACTACACATCGACACTAATGCTACATGGTGCAATGATATGGAATATAACTTATGGCATAAGAAGCAACGGGATTCTAAACAGGACTTAGTCACAGCACTGTACCTGATGGGCATGTGTGATGAGAAGGCCAAACCCTATACCCAATACCTTAGGCCCTAACTTACAAGCACACTCGTGGGAGCTAGATAAAACCTTGAAGATTGCAGTGACACTGAGAATACTTAGTGCACTCGCTAACTGTGACATGTCATACCTGAAAATCTGGGGAAATCCTTAAGCGAGATGCCAGATATCACTGGCATGAACTTGGGCAATGGGCTTCAGCCAAAGTCTGCAAGCCCACGTTGATGAGCCTCCAGGCTCTGTACGCTCAGAATTCGCAGATTTTACCAGATATTTAATTCCCCAGCCACCACACAAACCTACTATTTCAATCCCAGCAATATTGCTTAATGTTGCCAATTATCCTTCCCCACTTGTACCCCACATCAATTACATGCCCCTTCCATTAATTCTGCCAGGCACCTGATTGTCGATCTCATGGATTTAGAATCCCATCTGATTGCCTAGCACAGCCGCAATTCCGCAGCACAGCCACAATTCTGCAGCTCAAATAGCAATTCCATGGCATTAGCTCTAATGCTGTGACCTTTCCTCAGTCTTTACTAAGGCTGTTATACTGCCAAGAGATTGCCGCAAGCATCTACTTCAGTACACTTGCTTCAATGTACTTTGCCACAGCAACACAGCAGCTCAAAATTCCAGAGATCGGTGGCATTCTTGCTAATCACTTCATCTATATGTGGAAAAACCATATGGGTGCTGTTACTTTCGAACCACAGTACACAGTAAAACCATGTGGGTGCTGTTACTTTAGAACTCTGGGAGCATGTGTTTTGTATCATTTCTTACTAATCTATGTACTACAGACTTACTAAGGACTCGCTTCAAGTATTCTAAATTTATTCTGGACTTGTAGTATAAAAGCTAGTATACACCACAGAAAATAAGTAGTTGCTGGACACTAGTTATTGCACACATTATCGACCACCATCACTGCTTGTACTCACTAGGAGACAGACAATAACAGCATAGTCACTCTGAGTTATACTCTCTGTCACAGCTTTTCTTCTAACGGTATTGGTGTATGCTCATATTGCACCAATACATGGAATTTCATGTCCACAACTCACTTTTATCTTTTATTCCACCAGCATCTTTTCACTTTCACCAGCCAGCATCATTTTACCAGCCTTCACTTTCTACATCGCCATCATTTTACCCCAGTTCAGCTCAGTACAGTTATGTCCCCATGTGGACACAGATTAGGATTGTTATTGCTGCCAGCAGTGTCTGTCATGGAATTTCGGTCAACAGTTTCAGTATAGGACCTTCAGTCACGGTATTTGGTATCTTGCCATCAGTTTCAGAATAGGATAGTCTCTGTGTAGACTCAGGATCAGTATCAGTTCTGTTTTATTGTTGTTAACCCAGTATAGTTTCAGTATCAGCTTTGCCCAGTCTCAGTCATCGTTTTCCACCACTAGTCTCTCATCATATTTCCGCCAGCCAGTCTCTCATCATATTTCCGCCAGTCAGTCTCTCTTCGCTTTACTGCCAGTTTCTCAACTACAGTCTTCGTCTATTGCCGTCCTGGTATTTGTTATCTTGCCAAACAGTATTTCTCTTTGACGGCATTTCCATTAATTCCGCCAATTCTGCCCATGGCTTTTACTAGTTAATTGCCATCACTTTGTTCATGGCTTGCCAGTATTTCCAGTTATACCAGATTCCGTTCCTTCTTGTACATCAAGACCCTTCCCAGCTTACAGCCAACGCTTTCTAGTACTTAATCATTAAAGGTACTACTTTGCCACCTGTAGCTGCTACTTTGATGCATCAAACACTGTTAGTTGACAGTTAATTGTGATACATCAGGAGTGTCAGTTTACATCCAGCCCATATACAGTAATTCCATCAGGATGACAAAGTTACTTAGTAAGCTTCCCAATCTGTGTCAATTGTGGCATCATTAGAAAAGAGGGCAATTCCGGGAATTGAACCCGGAACCTCAACCTCCCCACAGGGTTCAATTCCCGTTTCGCAGAAATGGGACCCTCGAGCATAGGCGAGAGCACGAGCCAGAGGCGAGACACAAGCGTAAGCGAGAGAATGAACTACAAAAATGTGATAAACCATATAAACTTGCAGTATGATACTGTTTGCAAAACATATGATACAATTATTGTTCCTTAATCATGTGATCTACTTGCACGGGTACTCGTGGAGAAATGCCGTAACATATGCCACGACCTTGTCCGTTCCCAACACCTTTAGCGCCAGCTGGAACGAAGCCTCACTCTCTATCGGTACCAACTCTAACAAGGAATCATACTACTAGACCATCAAGCCTGTGCATGTGATCGAGAGATGCCATATAAAGGAAGACTGTCTGCAGGAATACCAAGAATCAACATCTCCTCCTCTTTTACGATCTGGATCCTGGCGGGCCATGACATCCACCGTACAGTCGACGCAGGCCGATGTCTTGTCGCAGATTTTCCAAGGACTGAAGAGTAAGAGTCATGAAGTATGACTGGAATCTTCTGTCAACTTGCGTCGATATGTGAATATCTCCATTATTCCAACTTTACTAGAAGCTCATGCCCATGTCCAGGTTGCCACTACTGTTGCCGAAATGACACCTGATGCTGCAGCCAAGCTATGGGACGACAACATCAATCGAAGGCTTTTCGATCTCATGCATAGCCAGAATACAACGGAAATTTTTGGTGGACTCTTAGCTATAGGCGCGTCATTAGCCAATCTCGTACCTGCCACGTGAACTAAAACAGCTATTAGATCACCTCCTTGAAATTACTAGCGGGGAAACCATTGAGTCCAAGCACAACTTATTTCGATTCTACAACTATGTCAAGCATCTCCTTCCTCACTCAGACGTCAACCTCATGTTAGTGGCGTCCAAGACCCCTAGGACAGATAGCACATATTGGCAGTTCTGCTTTTGGAGGCCGGTTTATGGATTATGAAGTTCCCGCTGCAATCGAACTGATGCAGCCGGAGAAACAGGAATCACTTCGATACGCTGGCGTCTTAATTCTGAAGGAGCTCACTCGAAACAGCCCCGGATATTTCCATTCTCACATAAGCTTTGTGTTCGAAAACATAATTGTCGCTCTGCGAGATCAGCGCGTTATTGTCAGGGAGGGCACTGCCAAACTGCTGGCAGCTTGCTTAGAAATTGTCATACAGCGGGAGTGTCAAAGTCCGAACACCTATCTGAACGGAATTTTAACGGAGGCTCAGGCAGGATTGAAGATGCCACAACCAGAGATCATACATGGCTCGCTACTTATGTACAGCGAACTTCTTTTGCATGCTGGGATGGTGCGTCTACTTATTTTCTCTGTTCATCATTCTCAATCACGAATGTCATCTAGTTTATGAAGGAAACTTTTATGGATACAGAGGAAATTCTCCGATTCTGAACCCATCGAGACAGTCTCGTTCGCGGACAAGTTATTGTGATGATACCATCTCTAGCCGCCTATGATACGCAAACTTTCAAGGATAATTATCTCCGCTAAATATGGGAAAAGCTACTATTCCGTTACAGGAGTTGTAATTTGTCATAGTGATATCGTCGCCTCGCAATGGCTGACAAGGCCTTTATATTTTGGCCGTCATCCTTATTTCAGATCACGTTTTCACTGCGAGCCTTGTGGTGGGTTATATGGGTATGGTAATATTTCTGGTGCATTATTATACTTGTGTAAGCATTCCTGTTCTAATATACTTTCTAAATACATGTTGCAAGCAGGATATCAACGTGAGAATATCAATAGTCGCCATAGCCATCGTCGTTGTAGTCTATGTCTTCATCCTGATCGTCGCCCCCACCCTCGTCATCTTCCTCTTCCACTTCCTCCCCATCCTCCTCTTCCTCTTCATCCTCTGGGCTTTCCTGTACTTCATGCTCGTCCTCCTCGTTTAGCTCCCTCTCAAAATCATCACTCATAAGAAGTCGCAAGTCTTCTTCCTCGTTGTTTTGATCTTCTGATACGCTCTCGTCCTCCTAACTTGATCTCTTTTGAGTATGTTTCGTCCTGTTTCTTTGTACTCTCGATTGAATATCTGTCAGCGCCGGATCAGTTTATCTCTCAACGAGCTACTATCCTCAGAAGGTCGCACATAGCAGCCGCTTCCTCATTTAATATCTCTAACTTTGCCATCTTACAGCTCTTTAGCAAAAACCGCGGGGACGAATACGTACCAAGCACCTTACCGGACCTTGATGGCACGTTGTTTTGGAGCGTAGTCCGACAGACATCGACAGTACCCAACGAGATCATTATCAAAGTATGCATCCTTCGGATGATTTTTTATGTCAAGTCAGTACGTTCTAAACTGAAGTTTGACAGGTCGCTAATATAGTGGATACCGCTTCCGCTGTAACATTCAATCTTCCCTTCGAATCGGTTTCATCTACGGCCCTAGCGCAAGTCTTGACAGGAAGCGCCAATGACAGTAATACTCCATTGACGCCACAGCTTGTCGTTCCGGTGAACAGCATCATTGTAACCGGTAAAACCTTCACCTATTCCGCGCCCCCTTTTAGTCTTAGTATCCTTACCATGACCCTTTGAAGATGTTTGTTACCTTTTTTATGTTTCCTACTGTAGTAGCCTCGAGATTGAACACTGTTGTCCAGATTGAGCCGTGTACAAGAGTAACGGACTGTTTGTAAGATGTGGTCAAAGTACCAGTTATAATGACCATTGAACGAGCTTTGCAATTTGTTGGAATATATCTATGTAGTAAGTTACACATGCCGTAGGGATTGTCCAGGTCGCGTGCGGGGCCCTCCGTATTACTCGCAGGACCAATGTCAAAGGTGATCTCTACACCTTGTAGACTAGTAACCTCACTTGAAAGCGTCGGAGCAGCATCCAAAGCCACTCAAATGATGGACATGGAGTGGCTCACAGATTGCAGTAGCCGTTTTGTCTGCGAGGTGACAGCCAGGGTTGGGCTGGATGAGTAAAAACATGCGGGGTGCTCACCGACAACGTGCGTCTATACAAAGGCATCCAAGGACAGATTGGTAAGCGAGTCGCTCGAGACAGGGATGCCTTGGCCCCTCACGCTTGTTAGAAAGTGGTGATTTGGAAGTCCTTTCTGCCAAAGGTATCGGCGATGACGGATGAAGGAGGGATATCAGGAAATACAGGACGGAATAGAGTGCAAAGGACAAACAGTTCACGCGTGTACATGAAACTAGCCTTACAGTGCTTCAAACACTTCGGCCACGGGAGTAAAGTCATGTATCGCAGTAAGCTTACATCGTCCGTGTCAGACGTGGTAAGCGTTGGGCTGCGCGTTAATACACAATTTTCCCATTAAGCATCACCCACCTCCATTCACCATGTAAGCAATAGACTTCTTACCGATCACAGCGGACACCCTCAATCAACGTATTCTCTGTCCAATGGTTCTAAATTACCTGGTCAGATAGTTCACAACAACTTGAATGGTCGCGTTCAAGAAGAAGGCCTCATGGCTAGTGTGATAAATGTACTGCACTCGAAAATTAGCTGCATGACTATATTAGAGTGGGTCCATATGTACCTCGGTCCTGTAGCCTTAGGCTGAAACGATCGCAACGGTCATGTGAGTGACAGACCCCGAGTAACATTGATCTCCTTTACATCGTGCCGGCGCGACACGTACTACCCAAGTATTTCCCACCAAGTCTTGGCGCCCACCTAGTCTGTTGAGTATAAAGTAGACAACAACTTCAGTATACAAATTCATATTCACCGTCGCAATGACTTCAACTCCATTTACTGTTTATCGCATGGCCGTATGCTTGTATAACGGCGCTACATCGCTCGACTACCAAGGTCCCGTCGAGTTACTGTCCCTTCGAAGCACCGCGATTCGCAAGATGCTCCCAGACATGCTCGGCGCGAATGAAACCAACTGTGCCATCGACGCGACGTTCCTCGCGAACACTCTTGACCCCATCGCCCCTCTTGCCGGCCCAAAGCTACTCCCAGACCAGACCTACGACGATGCCAAAGAGCAGTTTGACATCATCCTCATTCCCGGAGGTGCGTATTGAGCTACTAGAAAAGACGCGGACCTACAATTTGAGTGACAGGAATAATCGGTAATGGCAAGACGGAGCACAGCTTGATGAACTTTTTGAAGAGACAAGGACCGAATGCGAAGTACATTCTGACGGTTTGCACTGGGTCGTGGATCCTGTCTAGCACGGGGCTCCTGGATGGGAAACGTGCCACGTCGAACAAAGAAATGTTCAATGTGATCAAGGTGACTCTTGGGTGCATGCAACACCTGCCATACATCTCTAATCCAGCCGGATTTATAGGAGGATACCAAGGACCTTCCCATAACCTGGATCCCCAAAGCTCGATGGGTCGCCACAGAAGACAAGAAAATCTGGTCGAGTTCAGGTATCACCGCTGGTAAGCATCGTTTTGATCAAATCGGCAGTATTGCAATCCTGAATGATGTCGCAACAGGAATGGATCTGGCGTACGCGTTTCTGGAGTATCTCACTGGCAAAGGACCCGCGGATGCTGCTGCAGGGTTCTTGGAGATGATGGTAAACGGGGAGGGGGATGATCCGTTTGCGGCCAAGTATGGGTTAGTCTGAGTTATAGCTCGTTAGTCTGTCGCCGTTTGCTACAAAAATGTAACTCACTTTCTGCATATTATTCATCGTACTCCAGAGGTGAAATCTTGAGACATCGTAAAGGTTGAGGTCCAGATTTGGTAAAGTCTGAAAAAAGTACCCGATAATCACCCAGGACCCAAATACCAGGGCATCGAATGGTGAGTATCTCCATCGATGGTACTGTAGCCTTCCCGTAGACCATCACCGATTAACCGGACAAAAGGCTGGGACGAGAGCTATAAGCAACCAGCAGCGATTCATTGAAGCACGGAGGAAACGAGCCGCCGGCAGTTGCCGCAAAGTGGATGCCGCCTGACTTTTCGAAGCTAAAGTCGGTGACTAGATGCACATTCCACTGGCCAGTGTTCATTACTGTGGTAGCTTACTTTTATGAAAGTGATAACACATTAGCTGGGATGATTTCAAGACCTTAGAATGTATTGAAGGAAGTATCTACCGATGCGCAGAGTGAATAGCTAGATATATAGGCGTGATACAAGAACTTACAAGAAATAAATCAAAAAAAATAGAATACATAGACAACGTTCACCAGAAGCCAACCTCCTTATTGACCGAATCGCGTAACAACAACCTCAAACCCTTAAACATCCTCACCCCTCCCTCACCCTCCCCTTCTCCACCCCCATCCCTCCAAACCCACTCATCCAACCGTCCCCTCAACAACACACTAAGCCCCGCACAATGATACAACTTGAAAAAATACCCCCTGCCTCCAAAAAAATCATACGCCACTCCCATCCCCGTTTCCTCATGCAACGTCCCGAGGAAACCCCAAAAGGCTGCTAGGGAGCGAGGCGTCCAGCACCCGGGGGATTCGTGTCCGTCGACGAGGACTACCCCGCCAGGTGTGGTGACGGGGATTATCCACCCCAAGCCGGAGCCTAGGGACTCGACGCGCGTAGAGAGGGATCGGTACTTCGCCAAGAAGCGCTGTGGAGTGTGGACGGACGATGTGAGCAGTCTCGATGTGATAGTTTGGGGCTGGGATAGGGGATATGGTAAGTGGGAAGGCAAAGGGGAGCGGAGAGAGAACGTACGATGGGTATGAGCCTAGAAGGATGTCCTTTAAACTCGTAGTCACCACTGGCATTTTCTGAACCGTGGACTTGTGAATCGTCTTCATCGACCCATTCTGAGATCTTGTCTTCTTCGTACTCTCCCTCAATGTGTTTCTCCGTTTCTCCTTCCTCCTCTTCTTTCACATCCTGCACAGTAAAGTCATCAGCATCCAGGATCTCGCTGATAGAGCCATGATGGTATTGTATGTCGCCATCCGAGAGAATGAACCGAGAATCGATGTCTTCTTCCTCGTCTTCTTCGTCTGTGTCCAGGGCGGCTTTGAAGTCGATGAACCCTGTGTTTGCGTCCTCGTTTTCGTCTTCGTCCAACATTGCAAAGTCTGGGCTTTCATCTGGCGGCTCGATTGGTACATCAGGAAGGGATGTGTTGACAGATTGAGGATTTCTGTCGCCCTCTAAGGGAGCTGCGTTCGCCTCGTCGTCAGAACGACTGCGGTCGATGGATGGAAGGAAAAATTGGCTGTCCATGTAATCATCTTCCTCGTCCTCAACATGAAATCCCGTGTCAGCATCGTTCGACCATCCACGCTCAAAGACAGCATTGTCTTCCATATCTCGCAAGGCATCCGAAACTCTACGTGACAAATGAAGATCCTTTGTCTTGCTGCCCTGAGATAATGAAAGAAGGCCTGATTCCACGCCCGCTTCGTCTTCCTCCTCGTCCGGGCCTTCGTCTTCAATGAAAGCCGTGTTTATTTCGTCTTCGTCCACCTGATTGTCGTCACCCCAGTCGTAGGAGACACCACTTCGACCGGAAAGGACGAAACCGAAGCTCATATCTTCTTCCATCTCATCCTCGTCTATGTGAAATCCAGTGTCGGCTTCATCAAACCCTTCGTTATCAGCGCCCCGAGTGAAGCCCAAGTATACTTCATCCTCTAAACGCGCCTTCGTGGAATTCGACTGTGAGATAGGACTATGTTTCGATTTCCCATTAGAGCCAGCGTCTAGGATGAGTCGGGTGGAAGGGCTGTGAGACTCTCCGTCGGCTTCGTCCATCTCTATGTCCCCGTATTTTTGTACCGGGGAGTGAAGGTCTTCCCGCGACCACGGTACCCATTCCTCAAGTTCTTCCAGTCCTTTCCCTTCATCCCCGTCTTCCTCCAAGTCCCCCCAGTCTCTGAGCAGCCTATTAGTACGATTCCCAACATCGAACACCGGCGGGGGAATGGCATATTCCCATTGGGCATCAAAGTTCAACTGCAAAGTCCGGCGAAAGGCAGGGGTGAGCCATTTTCCATCGAGAGCGAGTCGCCTAGCGGTACATAACAGAGATTCTCGGTCGATGCTGTTGGTGGTGGTATAGTGGTGGACAGTAAGAGACATTAGAGGGTCGCTATGTCGACACATTAGCATATCATTTAGTTACACAAAGAAGAATGATGCCTTTGTTTTGCGATATCCTTTGTAGTGCCGGGATACTGAATCCGTCATTCGATGTCATGGCTGGGAAGCGAAAGGCGCGTCTTTGCACAGCCACCAGTCTTAACCATGACAATTACACGCCAGAACTCCCCACTGGTAAGCTCTGACGCCTTTCTCCATGCAGGCCGGCATTCAAATGTGTGCTAGACGCCTCGGCCACTCTTCTTATATGGGACGCTACGTGCAATGCCTCTACTAGCCTGGGCACTAACAGGAGACTCTCGGAAAACCGACGTCGTGACACCTCTCGTCAAGCTTGCAGAACTCAAAGGCTATGCCCGCTTCTCCCTGCTCGGTAAAGATTATCCTGCTCTGATAAAGCACAGCGAAACATCGGTCGTCGACGGTTTGCTGCTCCGCCCTCAGGACAAGTCCCAGCGGAGAAAGCTAGACGATTTTGAAGGCGAGGCATATATAGTGACGCCAGTCCAGGTGGCTGTCGAGGGTCAGATGGTGGACGCGGACATTTACTTGTGGAACGGCGAGCCTGACGCGGTTTCGACGGACTGTTGGGATCTCGACACGTTCATTCGGGAGCGTCTGGATGATTGGATTGAGCTCTTCGCAGGCATAGAGTTAGTGGGAGATGATGTGGATGCATAAGTATCGGCTCTCGTTTGGAGTATGCGACGCCCCGCGAAATGGATGGAAATCCTCTTTTTCCATGACCGCTGCCTTCTGGATTGATTGTTTTTCCTCAGTCCCCTCATGGGTATTTTTGCCCTGGACCACATGTCTTCTTCCGAATCGCACCAAGTAAACACGAGTATTATAACTTATGGAGCATTCTCGAATAAAGAAAAACGTCCAACTTTACCAAGCATTTTCTTATGGGGTCACACATAAAGAACCAACGGAGATGACTCAGATGGCAGCATCAACTTCGATTCGACATGCCACTGTCCATGGAGCAATCGAGTTTGTTAATCAAAAAGTTTGACGGAAACTGTGTCAGGGACCCCGGGTACGCAGATCATGACTAGTCGAAGGGAAGGAATACTAACCAGAACTCGGATCCAGATATTGTCATAGTGGAAGGTGTATTTTTCTTCCTCCAACAAGGCGCCACAATATTGATCTCTTCTGAACTTCTACGCTTACTTGCTTGGAATTCTTAATTGTCATTGCCCAGAGCCTAAAGCATCTTGAAAAATAACGTCAGTACCGACTCGGAATGATGGGCGTTGGTCATTCGATCATTCGTGACCCTTATATATAAGGCTCAGGCTACTTTATGTAAATGTTCGCCAACTCTATTCAAGACTTACAAGGAAACCCTGACGCCCTTGCGAGAAGTGAGCGCGTCGGTGAGCAGTTTCATCTTTACCCTTCACTTCAACAACTAACCGTGACCGCAGTCATGATACCCGAGATACCTCAAGAAATCATATGCTCCATTATCGAAAGCTTTGAATATCCCAAGGACATCGATACCTGGAAGTCATGTTCCCTCGTCTGCCACGCATGGCGTCCCATCGCTCAGCAGTGTATTCACCGACACTACACCTATCGCTCCGAAAAGAGTTTCGGATCGTGTCTCCTAGGCGCATCTGAGCCCCCTACCTTCGAATCCATGATACCCTACCCTAATATCCTCCGCTACATCCGAACATTCAGAATCCTTGGGACGTCCTACGGATGCCTCTCGTCTCTGCCGCTCCTCCAAAGGGTCATCACCCACCTTGCGCGAGTGGCGCACGTTGACATAGGTTCAGTGAACATGGACCACCTACCCTCATCGTACGGTGGCATCCCCGACCTCTTCCACCTTCCGACAATCTCCTCCGTCCATATTTGTGATTCTGTGTTGAGTCCTGTGGATGCGGAGGCGTTGTTCCGGAATTCATCGTCATTGAAACATCTCAAGCTCACCCGTACGGAGTTCTTGGAGAACGACGTCCCGAAGTCGCAGAGATTTCCGCATCCGTCGTATCTCCAGAGTTTGGATATTCAATTGAGTAGCAAGTCCCTTGATGCGTTTCAGAGTTGGGTTGTGCGCCCGGGTGGGAGTGTTTCCTTGGATCGGTTGAAGGTGTTACGGCTTCGTGATGCAACGGGGCCGCGTATCAGAGATTTGAGGTCACTCTTCGACGCTGTTAGGTTCTCTCTTGAGCGTTTGGAGTACGAACAAACGGCAAAGGGGAGTGTCAACTCGTTTGGTAATGCAGGTGTGTTGCTTGCCAGTCTTCGTTTAAGCTCTGGTTTAACGCGATTTTCAGATGGTCAATGGGATGAGTTCCCTGACAGCATAGAGAAGCTGAATCTGCGATCCTTACGGGTAACGGGTTACCTTTCTTCTGACAATGCTGCGCAGAAAATCTTGAGCTTCGTGAACCTCGCAACTAGACGGTCGACACGTCTAGATTTCGTGGAGCTTGATCTTGTTGTCCTTCATGCAGAGTATAGCGACGCGTACAATTGGTTAGGCATCGAGCAGGTACGAGGTGAAGTCCGGACAGTTGGTAAAGAAGTGTTGGTGGAACTGTTCATGGTTACAGAGGGATCTGAGTCCTGTATCTGGGTGTCGAAGGAGGATAAAAGGTTCTCGGGGAGTATAAAAACACACCTGAAGCTCAAGGCTCTATAGTTATGACATACCCTTCTTTACTAGTTTTATTTTACAGCTTTTCGTTGTCCAGAGAAAACCAATCTTATCGTGTTCGATGTTCGAGCTTACGTTGTCACCAAGCGACGGCGCTGATCATTAACTGTCGAGGTGCTCGTCTTTCCAGTCGCCGCTTGTTAACGTCGTGTTATTAGTATTCTCTCATTAGTTGTACGTATTCGTTGCTTATACCCGCGGCTTTTAGTTAGAATTGTCGTATAAAAGGACTGTACTCACGTAGTATACATCATCTCATTTGCAACGGATACATATACTCCTTTTTCTCTCGCTCATTTCGCTGTCCCGAGCCTCGCGATTCCAAGGACCAATATATCGGATAACGGAATCAATCCCGATCGCGAATTTTTTTGACACTTTACATCAAATTTACTTTCTCTACTGACTACCACCACGACCTGAGCATCATGTCGCAGCCTATTGGTCCTGATTTCCCGGTATCCCAGCTCCTCTGTATCGCTGAATGCTCTCATTTCTTTAGCTCTTCTATCCGTCTACGATAAAACGGATCTGCTCGAGCTTGCTCGAGGGCTCAATGCTGCTGGGGTCCGTCTGCTGGGGTCTGGAGGAACAGCAAAGAAGATCAGGGACTCAGGGATTCCTATTGAGTGCGTATTCTGACTGTCTGTGATGGCTCAGGAAAACTAAGAAACCGCAGAGATGTTTCTGATATTACAAAAGCACCTGAAATGCTAGGCGGAAGGGTCAAGACACTTCACCCGGCTGTCCATGGAGGTATCTACAGTGATCTCACGCCTTACCAGCACGCTAAAGTCAATCTGCAGGTATCCTCGCACGAAACATTCCCTCCGATGAAAAGGATCTTGCAGCCCAGGGCATCTCTCCCATCTCCATCGTCGTTTGCAACCTCTACCCCTTCTCGTCGACCATCGCCCAGCCAGACTGCACCCTCGCAAATGCCGTAGAAGAGATCGACATTGGCGGCGTCACCCTTCTCCGTGCAGCTGCCAAGAACCACGAGCGTGTTTCGGTGCTCTCGGACCCAAAGGACTATGCCGAATTTTTACAGGCGTGGAAGGCTGGACAGGGCGATGTCGGACAGGCTTTCAGGAGCAAGCTAGCGTTGAAGGCTTTTGAGATGACTGCCAGGTACGACGAAGCGATTAGTGGGTATTTCCGTGAGCAGTACGCTTCTGGCGATCTACTCAAAGAGAAGCTCGCTGGTGCCGTCCAGAGGATCCCCCTTCGTTATGGTGCGAATCCCCACCAAAAGCCTGCTCAAGCCTTCGTGACCGAGGGAGCGTTGCCTTTCAAAGGTCACTTCAGTTTTTTCTTGGTATCCTGTTCTTCGCTCATACACCAGGGCTATAGCGCTATGCGGATCTCCGGGTTACATCAACCTTCTCGACGCTCTGAATTCCTACGCGCTGGTGAAGGAACTCCAGGAAGCCCTGAACCTCCCCGCGGCTGCGTCCTTCAAACATGTTTCTCCTGCCGGCGCTGCTGTAGGGATTGAACTGAATGAGACTGAAAAGAGTGTTTATGGTGTTGACGATCTCAAAGTTCCTCTCACTCCGCTTGCCGCCGCTTACGCCCGGGCTAGAGGTGAGATGATTTGATACCTGGGAACCCATCGTCGCTGACCATTGTATAGGTGCCGACAGGATGTCATCATTCGGAGACTTTATCGCGCTCTCTGCTCCCTGTGATCTCGCGACAGCCAAGATCATTTCACGCGAAGTTTCCGACGGTATCATAGCTCCGGGTTATACTCCCGAAGCCTTGGACATCCTCTCCAAAAAGAAGGGCGGCAAATACTGTGTCCTCGAGGTATGTTTCCGCTGACCCTTCCCTCCAAAAATTTGTGTCTAAATCAAATCTGACACAGATCGATCCCAGCTACGAACCACCTGAAGTAGAGACCAAGCAAGTGTTCGGTATTAGCCTACAACAGAAACGCAACACCTGCAAAATAGACTCTAAATTGTTCGAAAATATTGTCACGAAAACTAAGGAGGTTCGTCAGCATTTTGCCTCTTCACGTTCACATAATAACTTCGCAACAGCTTCCTTCCTCGGCCGTTACCGACCTGATTGTCGCGACTCTCGCACTCAAATACACCCAATCGAACAGTGTCGCATACGCTCTTCACGGTGCCATTGTCGGCCTGGGAGCCGGCCAGCAGTCCCGTATCCACTGCACTCGTTTGGCTGGTGGGAAAGCCGACCTGTGGTGGCTCCGGCACCACCCCCGAGTCCTTTCTCTCCCATTCAAGAAGGGTGTCAAACGCGCCGAGAAGGCTAATGCTATTGACCTCTTTGTTGCTGGTGAGGTTCTTGAAGGCGGAGAGAAGGAACAGTGGGAGAGTCTGTTCGATGTTCTGCTCATTCTATGGCCTGGGGACTATCAGAATCGGATTCCTTGACCCAAAAAACAGTAGGGCCACCTATCATCCATGGTATTCAGATGTTCAAACTCTGAAGTACAAGATGTTCTCTCATTTGTTACTTATATTGTCCTGTAGCTACATATGGCTGTATGTGTTATCTGGGTAAAATGGCTCCTATGGATGATAGGTGGCCCTACTGTTTTTTGGGTCAAGGAATCCGATTCTGATAGTCCCCAGGCCATAGAATGAGCAGAACATCGAAATATGGGATGTGCTCCTCCTGTTTTACAGAATGATCTGCTCATATCTCATTCAATACATTTCGGATATCCATGGGGCTTCGTACACACCATTGTACAATATATATAGTCTGTTATATAACAAGAATATCCTCCCTAACTATTAGAAATGCGAAATATAAGGTATGTCTCCTCCATCCCCCTATTACTCTTTTTATCACGTATTTCTGATGGTTTCCTTTGTCCTGTGGGGTCATTTGAGTGTTATTCAGGTCAATAAACACAATAGACAAAACTCCGAAGTGGTCCGAAGCCCAGAAATAGGATTTATTACATGTGCTCCTTCTAAACTGTAATATCATTATTTCTGTCGTTTTTGAGACCCTATAAATGAAGGCTGGAGTCGTTTTGGGGTTTTTAATATCAGGGAATCCATTGGTGATGCTCCCCAGGCCATCCGAAGTGCGAAAAACAAAAT